ATAGAGGAGCCAAACTTCCTTATCATTGCATTCCCACTCGGGGTCTTGGATAAAGCTTTGCATATAGTGAGTGCTCAAGAAATTATAGTTTATTGCTTTGCACCTTAAATAAAAATGCCCTAAGAGGTACTTTTATTCCTGTGATTGAAATGTAGCTATATCTGATCATCACCCATTCTGAACACATTTGCAAATCAGTAGTTGATTAAAAGGTTCACTTTTGCTCTTTAAAGATGAACAGGAAGCTGCACATTTTCTGCAGCAGGGGTCCTTGCTAGAAAGCTTTCCTTGGTTCAGTAGTCTTCTATCACTATGAATAGAACATCAACATAATTAACATAAGAATCCCTTAGAGGCCAATTTTAAATGAAACCACATTTAATTGCAGGTAATTCCTTTATTCTCTAAAATCATGCTAACTTTCCAAGTATATGAAATATGTCAAACTCTTTGTGAAGTAAACCCATTTAAAATGAAATGGTATATAGTCTATCAACCCCTAAAAGTACAGGATTATTTCGGTTTATTTGGCCAAAACGAAGAAAAAGTGAAAGATAAACCCAAGGGTCAAAGCACACATAAAACAACACTAAACACAGGTTTTGGCAAGTTCTAAATTTCCTGAGTTTCTAAGACAAATGGTTTGTGTTCTTTGGACATAATGTTTTGCTAAAAAGAAAATCCTACATCAATATTAATTTCTCATTTTTAATATTTTGCTGGTAGCCAAAGTAATTTGTTTCAATCCTAAAATCCTCTATTGCCCAAAACCATAGTGTTAAGGAGAGAGGATCAGTGTGCACAGAGCCTCCACCTGGGAGGGGATCAATATCTGTGCATAAAATGAAGCAAATGAATGGCTATCGCTTTGCTGTTTGTCTAGGCTCCAGATGAGTGGCCAGTAACTTCGGAGTTGTAAAGGATGAGTAGGACATAGGCATTTGTTCTTCTTATCTGGAGTTCTAAATTACTTCACTTTGTTCACTCAGCAACTTCACCATTCTCAGCCCCATGCTTCAAGCGCTCCATGTCATCTTGCAGGTGACATGTGCTATATGTGTCACATGTGACCAGAGCCGTGGACAGATGATCCCTTCTCTAAAAAATACCATCTCTATGGGTTATTTTTTAGGTGATCATCACATTGAGAAGACATCCTCTTGTCAACATCATGCAGTTTGGCCCTAATAATCATGTTTCTTAACCTGTCACAAGACAGTGGCTGTACTTTTCCATGTTTTTCAGAGATCTCTACAGAGCATCTCCTATAAATACAGGGAATTTTATATATTTTTTAGAAGTTAGCATACAAGCTATATTTGAGTACATTTTTAGAAGTAGCATAAAAGATGTATTTTGAGTATATTTTTAAACCAAGAACTGCTCACATGTAGATAATTTAGATTTAAGAACATAGTTACACTAGTTTAACATAATAACAATACATTATTAAATACACTTAGGATGATTAATGGTTGCTTACTTTCTTGCCCTTGCTATCCAGCATGAAAGAGTTTACAGTAAGCAGAGCATAGCAAGTTTTAATCTTTATTCTAGTTTCAATTCTTTTCTTTCTAACAAAAGCACAAAGTAAAAAAACAAAAACACACACACAAATATTTATAACAATAAAACAAATACTCAGCAACTCATCATCTAATATGTCTTAAATCACCTAATTTGGCACAATGCTGTTTGGTGGACATTTCTCTCAATATGAGCCTGAGGAAAAGGGAAAATGGAAAGATTATCCCTGTCTTCAATCTTGTGGTGTGATTAAGCACTGCTGGAAGCTTTACCTTGACCTGTAAGTTCTCTCCTCAGATACCAACGTCTGTTGCGGCACTGTTTCCTTGGGTTCTCATTCCCTAATGGTACCATTTCTATTTCCTGGTGAGAAAATTATTAAAATAGTCCCCAGTAGTAAAGGTTACTAATATTCTCACTGTCTTGTCCTCAGCTGGGTGTGAATGCATGAGCACCTCTGGCAGGGGCACTTTTCTTCTTGAGCACAGCCAGCTGGAGTGTTCAGAAATTCTGATGTAGAAGAACTTTTTTATTAATATCTACTTCAAATGTTATCTTCCTTATCTTCGGGCCATTTCCATGTCTACATGGAGATTTAGAATAATTTCCTTCTTCCATTACATTTTGTTCCTTGAAGGTATTTTATAATCAAAGTACATGCTCTTTGCTCCTTCTCAGGTTTCCTTGTTTCAGGCAAAATGTATTAAGTCTCTCTAGTCTAATCCTCTGGATCTTGTGTTATGCCACTTGTCTCTTGAATAGTCTCAGCGTGGAGACAAGAAAGGAGCATTATATTCTATAATATGTTGGGAACCTAAGAATAAAACCCAGGATGGTTATAGTTTTCCTCATCTGACCCTGTATCCAATTTTTAAACTTCCTTTAATGTTTGAATAAAGATTTGGAAATTTAGAAACCTAGATGCTACAGTAAATATTATAGTATTTATAGTAAATATTATAACAGTAAATATTATAACAAGTAGATCATTGAGATTTTATGTGTGTGATTTAAACCTTCCTATAAAAATAACCAGATCACTACCTCTTTGACTTATACTAGCTGTCATTATAAATCTCTATTTTTCCTGTAACGCAATACAACAGGGACCATAAATGTCTTGCGAGTCATGTGTTAGCCAAGAGAGACCTTCCATTTTTCTTCCTTTCTTTTTACTATTTGTGCTTTTATTTACTCTTCTTCAAAGTCTACATTTCTATTTGTATTAGTGTCATCACATTTTGATTCGAAGTTCTAGTATTTAATCTTTAATACCTCTTGCAAATATATTTAATATGGATTCATAAAAATTCAATTAGCATATTATTATTAAAGAAGAGAAAGTAAAACAAAAGCGAGTTTTAATGTGTTAGTTTAGATTATAGACTTTGTTCAAGTGTGTAATCAGTAGTAATTTTTAAGTATCATTTAATTATTAATATTCAGTGGTCCATAAGTTTAGCTTTCCTTGTTGTCTAACACATTTGATTTTTAAAAAGTAATTGTTCCCCTGAAGACTTTTTATAGATATAGATAATATTATTCTAAAATTTTATGGAGAAGCAAAAGAACTAGAATAGCTATAACATTTTGAAAACAAAATATAAGGTGGGAAGAATCACTTTGTCCAAGGTTAAGGGTTATTATATAGTTACAATAATCAAGAGAGTATATTATAAGGGCAGACACATAGATCAATGGAATAAAATAGAGAACTCAGGAATAGACCCATACAAATATACCCAACTGATTTCTGACAAAAGCCCAAAAGCATTTCAACAGGGCAATTAGACATCCATAGGCAAAAAATGAACCTCAATCTAAACCTCTCACCTTATACAAAAATTCACTCAAAGTGATCATGAACTGAAATGAAAACTATAAAACTTTTAGAAAATAATAGGGGAAAATCTTTGGGACCTGGGGCTAGGCGAAGAGATGGTAGACCTGACTCCAAAAGCACAATTCATAAAAGGCAACATCAACTAATCAAGTTCATCAAAATTAAAACTTTTGCTCTGCAAAGGATGAAAACACAAGCTAAAGAGTGGGAGGAAATATTTGCAAACAATATATCCAATAAAGGACTATTGTATAGAATATATAAAGAACTCTCAAAACTCAACAATCAAAAAACTCAACTAGCCGGGTGGAGTGGCTCCCACCTGTAATCCCAGCACTCTGGGAGGCCAAGGCAGGAGGATCACTTGAGCTCAGTGGTTCAAGACCAGCCTGAGCAAGAGCGAGGCCTATCTACTAAAAATGAAAAAAAATTAGCCAGGCATAGTGGCGCATGCCTATAGTCCCAGATACTAGGAAGGCTGAGGCAAGAGGATTGCTTGAGCCCAGGAGTTTGAGGTTGTTGTGAGGTATGCTGACACCAAGGCACTCTAGCCTGAGCAAGATAGCGAGACTCTGTCTTAAAAAGCAAACGAAAAAACAACAACAACAAAAAACCACTCAACAATCCAATTAGAAAATTGGAAAAAGACATGAAGAGCCATATCACCCAAAAGAGTATACAGATAAACATACTCAACCCCATTTCTAGTAAGACAATGCAAATTAAAACCACAATAAATGTATCACCACATACCTGACAAAATGTCTAAAATGAAAAATAGTGACAATACCAAATCTAGCAAAGACGCAGAGAAATTGGATGACTTATGTATTGTTGGTAGGAATGTAAAATGTTATAGCCACTCTGGAAAACAGTTTGGTAATTTCTTAAAAACTTATACACGCAAATACTATACTAACCAGTGATTACACTCCTAGGCATTTATCTCAGGGAAATGGAAACTTATGCTCACACAAAAAACTGTATGGAAATCTTAGCAGGCTCATTTGTAATAGCCTCAAACTAGAAACAACCTAGATCTCCTTCAACAAATGGGTGATTAAACAAATTGTGGCACACCCATACTGTGGAATGCTACTGGACAATAAAAAAGGAACAAACTATTGATACATTCCACAACTTGAATGAATATCCAGAGCATTACGCTGGGTAAAAAAAAAAAAAAGGCAATTCCAAAAGGGGACATACGGCATGATCCCATTTATGTAGCATTCTTTAAATGACAACACTGTAGAAATGGAGAACAGATTACTGGTTGCGGGGAGTGAAGGAGGGATCGTGGGGAAGGGGGCAGGCGTGGTTATAAAAGGGCAACGTGAGGGATCCTTGTGGGTATGGAAATGTTCTTTACCTGGACTGTATCAATGTCAGTATTCTGGTTGAGATATTGTGATACAGTTTTATATGATGTTCTCATCGAGGGAAACTGGGGAAAGGGTCCACATCGTCTCTCAGTACTATTTCTTCCAACTCCATGCGAATCCACAATTATCTCAAAATAAAAAGTTTAACTAAAATGTTGTGTCAGCCAACTGCAAAGATAAATCCATTGAAATGAGAATGGGACACCACAAGATGTTTCCTTTCTCTTTTGGTTTTCCCCCACCAGGTCTGCGAGGAGCGATCGCGTTCGCCTTGGCAATTCGGAACACAGAGTCTCAGCCCAAACAGATGATGTTTACCACCACGCTGCTCCTCGTGTTCTTCACCGTCTGGGTGTTTGGGGGAGGAACGACCCCCATGCTGACCTGGCTCCAGATCAGGTGAGTGGCACCCTGCGCAGTTTAGCAAAGGAAATCACTGAGGCCTGGCTGCACTGCTCCATTTCTGATGCTCTGACTTGGTCAAGAGTACACCGGCAGCTCTGTACCCTAACGGCCTCTGGAGCCGAGTTGACCTTCACGCACAAGGTCAAACAATAGGACCTAGCAACTGAATTGACTTTTGTTCTAAGAGTCTTAGAAATACTAGAGTAGTGTCTATTTATAGTCTGTCCCGAGAAATGAATTTATTCCTCTATTAATTCTTCCAATCAACACTATTTAGTCATTACAATGTAACATGCTATGGAGTTTACAAAAATAAATATGGCACAGGTCTCATCCTCAAGATACTCACAGTCTAGTAAGATGATACACAAAAAGCTGTAATGCCAAGGAGAAAGTGGATTGGCTTTGTTTTTAATTCCTCACAGCAACTTAGAACAGAAACAGGGACATAGGGAATGCTTAAACATACATGGTTAGTGAGCCATATGCTTAGCCAGAGGGATGCCGGAGACACAAGTCAGATGCTTTCTTACAGGAAAAGGGGGTCAAGGTTTGAGTCAGGGACCTTCCAAGGAGCCATACCCGGACTATGACTGCTATAAACCTGAAGTATGGAGGTAGCAGACGACTGACAAAAATGGATACCTGATGGCAATTGCAAAATGGGTAAATCTATTTTAAGATGTTGTCTTTAAATATTTCTGTGACCTGGGTCCCCATTTTCACACCCCAAAAGGCAACAACAGTGCTTTAGGCAAATCAGAATTTATTCCTCAAATCCATACCTCTTGATGGTCATGTGGTCCTTCCCTGGTCCCACCCATTTTCTAGAAGACAAATTCACACCTACCACATCTGACAGAAAAAGATCCATCTGACTGGAAAATAATTTCTAAGAAGATTCTTACAGACAAGGACTCTGGTATTCCAGCACCTAGTATAGTACCTGGCACATAGTAGGACTGAATGAATAATTCATGAAAAATTAAATGAGTATAACCACAAATGTGAATGCTTTTGTTAAGCATTTACTGGTAATTTGGTATTCATTTGACAAAGAAGTAGCAGAAGCAGGTCTCATAAGTTTAGCATAAGAAAGCTTATGCTTAAACCAGACCAAGTAGCTATGTATTAAACCAAATTCAAGAAAAAAAGGACCTCTTGAAGTACTGTGAATATTGCTAAACACATAAAAGGGCTTTGACTAAAGGTGAATAGAGAGTGTTTTGAAATGCTTGTTGAATTATTTTCTAAGCATATAAATGTGACTTGCAATTTCTTTCACAGTGGTAGTTACCTGTAGGCTCCTATGGATGAGTACACATATTGCAATTAAACTCTATAGCACTGGGTCTCCTGTGAACTGTTAGTAAGACAGTGGTGTGTTCAGGCTTCTGGAAAATAAAATTCAGTAAGTGGATCCATGCATGGAAAAATTAGGGCTTGGAAAGCAAAAGTTAGGTGATGCCAATCTCCACAAGGTAACAGTATTGCATATACTGTGAGGTATTTAGAACATAATGTAGTGATGTCAACATTTTCTTAAAGTAATCAAATATAACTTGTTTTCTACTGTTTCCTTTTTTACTCGCAAGAAGTTGTCCCCAAATCAGTAGCATGTTTTGCACTAGAATATTTACCTGAACCTCCTGTAGTGTTTTCCAAAGGCATCTATCTGTTAACTTCAAATAGGTATAGGTATCATAACTTATACAGTCTCTTGGTATCTGGTTCAGCAGGGAGAGGGGAGTATGATAGTGGGGCCTTAGGCAGGTTAGAACAATTATCCAGGTCACAGGACAGGGCCTAATAAGGAAGGACAGTAATGTCAACCACAGTATCCAGGGGTGAAGTGCCTGGAGGTCAGCTGAGACCAGTGTTACCATGGCCTGCCAGGGGCACAGCAGGCAGTTGCCATTTGACGGAGGTGCCCCAGTGGGAATTGGCTCTAAATGGCCCAACTGATCCAGTGCCAGCTTGGCCACCAGCCAGGATGGGAAATGGGAAAAGTCAGGAATGTGATGCATTTAGGGAAAGGAGCTGACAGGGCTCCAGTCTAGTGGGTAAGTGATCATCTCCCCCTAGGTACTAGAGATTTGTAAATCTGGAATCAGGGCAGAAACCCAATCAGGCAGATCAGAGACCCATTCATGAGGACACTAAGGGGAGAAAACTGAAGTACACAGATACAGGGGCATCCAGGAAGTTAGCCCAGGCAGGCAGGATACAGGGCAACAAGACCATGTTAAGACCGGTGGCTCTCAAACTTGGGTAAGCATCACAACCACCTGAAGAGCTCATTGAAGCCCAGATTGCTGGACCCCAGCCAGAGTTCCTGATCCAATAGGTCTGGGTCAGGGCCTGAGAATTTGCATTTCTACTACATTTCAGGAAATGCTGGTGCTGCTGGTCCCAGGGCCATCCTTGGAAAACTTCTGGCTTAGACTTCCTATCCTCTAGTGGAGATGGGGTTAATGTTAAATACTGCCAGATTTGGTTGGGGTCTCCTAAGACCAGGCACACCTAAGGCTGCAGTGTTGATTCTTTAGTACCTGTGCTAAAGGAAGGGAGGGGCTCACTTAGGGAGGAAATGCACTGTGTATTGATCAATGGGAGGGAAATAGGACATAATAAACTTTAAAGAGCAGAACCATAAGTTAATGTGTATACAAACACACGTGCATGACATAAGCTTAGTTCAACTACGTTATGGTGATAATCATAATATGCTCTGCTTCCCTGTCATGGTTTATAATGTTATCAAAGAGATTCTCAATTCCTTTATAGATTTTAAACCCATAATAGCCCATCACTTAGACTATATTTAGCAAGGTTTTGCTTGTTTACAGAGTAATATCCCATTAACCAATTTTCATGTCAGACTCTTCCCATAAATAACAAAATACATGAATTAGAGCTTTAATAAAATGACACAAATGGGGAAACCCAAGAGACAGGAATGCAAATGTGATATTGAACGAACCCAAACATCTTTGCATGGAACGTGACTTTTTTATACACTTTACATGGCCTTCCCCTCTTGAGTCTGTGCTTTTCCTCTTAAATTATTAGGTATGTACTGAGTTGATTTTTATCCCCATAAAATTTGCCATTTAGCCGCAAACTCCCACAGATGCAAATATAATGTTTTATAAAGGTAAAAATTAATAGTATTAAAATGAATTGCACTTTGATGGAAATGACTTTAAAACAGCAATGATCCTATACTTAGAGAAACTCATAATGTCCTTTACACGAGAAACAAATTCTCCATTGATTAAGTCTTGCCTTGTCCTAGGCACTATTCACATTTCTTGTCCTGAAGCTGTTTTATTTTCTTTTAAAAAAAATAATAAAATATTTTAATGCAGTGTTTGAAATAAATTAGAACTTTGTTTCTTAAAATTCTAGAGAAAAATAAAAGACTATTCTAGCCTTATTTTAGAGGATTTCTTAGAAAATAGAATGGTTTCTTGATTAGAATCCTGGATCACCTCCCTTCTGGGGAATACATTAATGCTGGAGGTGAGGAAAACCCAACCCACAGTCTCTAAGGACTAGCTTTGCTGTTGGCCAGGAAACAAAACAGATCAAAGGTGCCAGGCTTAGCCCTGCAGAAGCCAGTAAACAGGATTATCAACCAAATCATCACAAATAAACATCAAAGACCAACAAGACAGAGCTCTTTGGCAGTGGCACCAGATCATTAACTGTGGGATGGTAACCCCATTCTTGGTTAAGGCTAGGGCACCACAAGGAGCTTACAGACTCTCAGCAAACATTGCCTGAGGATGGAGCCCATACTACAATGCAAACCTTTCCTGGGATCCCTTAGATGATAATGTTCAAATCTCTTCAAATCTCTTCAATCTCTCAGATCTCTGCAAAATATCTGAGCTAGAGTGTGGAAAGTCTTGAATACCAGAGTTACACAAAACTTGTCTCCCTGATGGCATTAGAAAGTGCCCTCAACAAGATGACCTCTATAGCTTCCAAATTTTGGCCTCTAAGCACTCCAATAATAATAGCCAGTTTGTATTGAGTACTTACTCTGTGCCAGATATTAGATGATAAAGTGCAAGGCACACAACATCCCTGTGTCTCAAAGTCTAGTCTATAAAATGGGAATGATACGAGTGGCTATATCTTAGGGGGGGAGACGCTTGGTGAACTGGCCCAGAGTCATACACTGTTGGACTGCAGAGCCAGACTCCTGCCCAGGCGGCCTAAGCTCAGGGCCTGCACACCCAACTACATTTTTCTGTCACACTGCCTAAAAGAGGTTATTCTTGATGCCTGCAATCTACCTCGATTAACAAATTCTCTGGGGAAAAAGAGACATACATTTATAACCAAGACAGAGTTGTTAAAAACAAACACAGGAAATCTTCATCCATCAGGAGTGGCTGGGCTGCCTTGCTTATGCAACGCAGAAATTCTTCAGTACAGGTTTTTTCTTTGACCTGGAACAGTTAAAGGTCAACAAAGTTAGCCCTAGTCCAAAGTAGCCAAGTGATGAAGTTTGTCTTTCTCAATTGTAGGAATTTAGAATTATAGGAACTCATAACCCTTATATCCATCTCCTAGCTCCACTCAGGATCCTAAGCCAAACTACTGTTGACTTCTTCCCTGAAACAACCAAAAAAAAATTTTGTTTTTTGCACACACTGGCCTATGTCCATTGCAGAGTGAATAACTTTTAGTTAGTAGAATGCCTCTATCAGTATTTTAAATATTTAAATTCTATTTTTGGTTTATGACCAAAACCATCCTAGAATGCTTTATTTATCATTTATACCCACTGGCTAAAAAGTTTTAAAATAACAGCCATCATAGAAATGTGCACAAAGATAAGGAGAGAACTGTCATTGGTGGTATTTTTAAATCTTAAATGCTTGCAGAGTTAAATACAAGTATACCTGCTCATATACAGACCTCCTTTATTACAGAGGTGAGGAAATATCAATTTAATATAATAGAGGAATACATATAATTAAGTGTGCTTAATATCTGTGTTCCATTTGGTTTCCTTTCTAGCGGAAAGTTTCATGGAGGTTTAACAATTTGTTTCATTGATATATTAATGTGATAAATCAGCACGCACACTCTGGAGTTAGACTCTCTGGGTCCCAGTCTTGCCTTCCTGTCTCACTAGCTATGGGACCTTGAGGAATAAATTCAACCTCTCTATGCCTCAATTTCCTTAATCTGTAAAATTGGAATAATAATAATACCTATCTCTTTAGAATATTATAAAGATTAAGTATTTCGTGTGTAAAGAATTTAGGGCACATAGTAAAAATGCTCAACAAATATTGCTATAACATCACCCAAAGTATACCTATGAGCCTTTTCTTATACAAATACTCTTGTATTGCCCCCCCACACATGTATAATGTATTGTTAATTAAGTGTATTTGTGAAAGCGTGGCTTAATAGAAGGTAGAAAGTCTCTGGGGAGTTCAGGTCATTTTATGTAGTAACTAGATTCATCAATTGTACAGACAGCTCCAATATCTGCATTCAAAAATGATAAGCCTCTTTTAAAGAATATTCATATAAAGCATTATATTTACCCAACTCAAAAAAATTCTTTCTAAAACATGCTTCTATTTCCTTCTTAACATAATAATCTTTGCTTAGGAACCTTTTACTTATTTAATTTATACCATTTCATCAAACTGTATTGATTTTGTTATTTTGTATTGATTTTATACCAATTTGTATATTTTACATCAATTTGTATCAATCTACAGACCTAAGAAATATGCTATCTCATGAAACATGGTAAACCAATTTACCCATTTGAATGTAGACTTATACTTTATATTCCCTATTCACTACTGCCTTTTAAAATTATGTTCTATTTTTTAGTCTCTCCTGTAATGCATTTCATAAATCCAAATATTTATTGTTCAAATCAATCTAGTTTGGACATATTACATTAGAGATATCGGATAACTATATTGTTGACCTAAAAATATCCTAGGTTTATACCATGTGTTATAAATTCACAACTCCTAAATTTGTTTCCAATGCCATCTGAGTTCTTTAAAACCCACTTTCTATGTACAGAATCTTCCCAGTTTCAGAGATAACAGTCTTTATCTCCACAACTGCCAGCTATCCTCCGCTAGCCATGTTTTTATTTATCTTCCCTGAACATGCTCTTGAGAACATCAATATCAATAAGCTTCATTCATTTACTAAGTTTACCAAACAATAGACATTCTATTCTATTGAAGAAAATTTATTAGCCTGTTATCATAAAGTATGATCCAATATAGTGTTCTTACTTTAAGTAATAGTTGTATCTGTACTTTAGGTAATAGCTAGAGCCTGGAGAGAAAAGTGATTTTTGAATGCAGTAGAGAGAACTTGTTAGTCAAGAGGCTGTGGAGGGGATTCCAGTTCTGGTCAAGACAGAGCAAGCACACTTACCCCCCACCTCTATTTCTCTCCCTTGGAATTCAATTAAAAGCCCTGGACACGGCCGGATGCGGTGGCTCACGCCTGTAATCCTAGCACTTTGGGAGGCCGAGGTGGGCGGATTGCTCAAGGTCAGGAGTTCGAAACCAGCCTGAGCGAGACCCCGTCTCTACCAAAAATAGAAAGAAATTAATTGACCAACTAAAAATATATACAAAAAATTAGCCAGGCATGGTAGTGCATGCCTGTAGTCCCAGCTACTCGGGAGGCTGAGGCAGTAGGATCGCTGAGCCCAGGAGATTGAGGTTGCTGTGAGCTAGGCTGATCCCACGGCACTCACTCTAGCCTGGGCAACAAAGTGAGACTCTGTCTCAAAAAAAAAAAAAAAAAAGCCCTGGACAGAATGCATGTAGCAGTTATACACAGACTCTACAAGGTAAATGAAATTTTACAGATTGGGATAATAAACCAGAATTCAGAGTACTATTGAACCCATACTGAGTTTCCTTTTCTTAATTTTTTATTTTTTTCCTTTCTGGAATCTCTTGGCCTAGACTCAAAAGGCAATTCAGAGACTAGAATTATACAACAAGGAAGAAAGACAGAAAGAACTACAAGATAAATTCTTTGTTTCTGGAACAAGGAGAAGGGAAAAGAACTTTTGCGGGTCAGAAGAGTGGACACATCTCTCAGATCTGTTGTTGTTGTTGTTTCCATTCTCTCTCACCCAATCCCAGGCAATAACGAGGCAGCAGGGATGACAGTAGCAGCTACAGTTGGACAGACACCTAAAATTCCAACCAGAGGGCCAAGCGGGGTGGCTCATGCCAGTAATCCCAGCACTCTGGGAGGCCGAGGTGGGTGGATCCTTTGAGCTCAGGAGTTTGAGACCAGCCTGAGCAAGAGTGAGACACCCCCCCCCCTGTCTCCACTAAAAAAGTAGAAAGAAATTAGCTGGACAACTAAAAACATATAGAAAAAATTAGCTGGCATGGTGGTGCCTGCAGCTACTCAGGAGAATGAGGCAGAAGGATTGCTTGAGCCCAGGAGGTTGCTGTGAGCTAGGCTGACGCCATGGCACTCTAGCCTGGGTAACAGAGTGAGACTCTGTCTCAAAAAAAAAAAAAAAACAGTACAGAAAGAGAAGGTACAAAAAGAAATAAATGAAATTTTTAGAATTAAAAATGTAATAACCAAAATAAAATATGTACTCAATTAGCTTACCAGCAAAATGAAGGATGACAGATGAAGGATTCAGTGAACCCAAAGATAGATTATTAGAAATTATCCAATCCATGCAAAAGTGTGGCATTTTTTACCAGCAGACATGCTCTTTTAAAAAAAAAATGTCAGAAGAATTTATGCAGATGATGGGAAAATGATATTAGAGAGAATCTTGGAATAACAGACAGAAATGAAGGAACAGCACAGGAAAAGTAAATATATATTTAACGTAATGGATTATTCTTTTTCTCTTAAGATCTTTAAAATATATATGCTTGTTAGATTAAAAGTTTCAACATCATCTTATGGGGTTTTCAAAAAGGGGAGTGGGTATGCTCATAAGTTTTCTACATTCCAGTTGAAGTAATAAACTATTCAAAATAGACTGAAAAGTTAGGCATTTATATTTTAATTTCTAGATCAACCACTAAACATATAAACAATGAGATAGCAAGAAATCTAATAGATAAATTAAAATGAAAAACAGAACAAACTCAACCCCAAAAAAAGTGGAGGGGAAGACGGGGGTAAAGATAGAGGGAATAAGCAGGAAACAAGTAATCAGATGTAGATCTAAATCCAAACAGATCAATAATTACATTAAATTTAAATAATATAAAGATATCAGTTATAAGAAATAGATTATTAAAGTGGATAAAAAATAAAACTCAACTCTGTTGTCTATAAGAAACATACTTTAAATAAAAGGCATAGGTAGGTTAGATGTAAAAGAATAGAAAAAGATATACCATGAAAATGCCAATCAAAATGAAGCTGATGTGGCTATATCAATGTCAGACAGTCTTCAGAGCAAGAAAATTTTCCAGGGATAAACGGAGCATTACATAATGACAAAAGACTTGATTTACCAAGAAGACAGAACTATATAAAATGTATATGTACCTAAGAATATGGCCATAAAATACATGAATCAAAAATTGATAGATCTGAAAAGAGAGATAGACAAATTCACACTTATAGTTGGAAACTTCAGTATTCCTCACTGAGTAATAAATACAACAAGTATATAGAAAATCAGCAAGGGTACAAAAGAAATATTAAGATATCAATAACCAACTGGATTTAATTGACACTTATAGAACACTCCACCCAACAACAGCATAAAAGACATTCTTTCCAAGTGCAATCAGATACACCAAAATTGACCATAAACCTTTTTTAATTTAAGAGAATTGAAATCATATAGATCTCTGGCCATATGGAATTAAACTAGAAATAAATATCATTAAAAATAACTGGAAAATCTCCAAATACTTGGAAATTAAATAACACAGTTCTAAAAAATCCAATGAGTCAAAGATGAAATTTCCAGAGAAATTAGAAAATATTTTGAAGTAAAGGAAAATGAAAACACAACATCAGAATTTGTGGGATGCAGCTAAAGCAGTACCAAAAAGAAATGTATAGTATTAAATGCTTATATTATGTCATATTATATTATATTATATTATATTATATTATATTAGAAGAGAAGAGAAGGAAGGTCTCAAATCAATAATCTCATCTCTCAGGATTAGAACATTAAGAGAGCAAACTAAACCCAAAGCATACTAAACCCAAGCATAGCAAAAGATTTGAGCAGAAATCAGTAGAATTGATGCTAGAGAAACAATAGAGAAAAATTAATGACCAAAATTTGGTTCTTTGAAAAGATCGATAAAATTGACAAACTTCTAGCCACACTGACAAAAGAAAAAGACCCAAATCATCAGTATCAGAAATGAAAAGAGGAAGAAGGTGAAGATGGCGGCGGCAAGGGCTGGGGCCCTGGGAGTCCGATGGCTGCAAAGGGCAGGTTGGAATGTTGTGCCGTTGGGTACACGGACAGCCTCCAACATGACCAAGGACATGCTCCCGGGACCCTATCCTAGGACACCAGAAGAACGGGCCGCCGCCGCAAAGAAGTATAATATGCGTGTAGAAGACTATGAGCCTTATCCAGATGATGGCATGGGGTATGGTGACTACCCAAAGCTCCCTGACCGCTCACAGCACGAGAGGGATCCATGGTATGACTGGGACCACTCAGACCTGAGGTTGAACTGGGGTGAACCGATACACTGGCACCTAGACATGTATATCAGGAACCGTGTGGACACGTCCCCCACACCTGTTTCTTGGAATGTCATGTGTAAGCAGCTCTTCGGCTTCCTGGCCTTCATGATATTCATGTTCTGGGTTGGGGAGAAGTATCCCTCCTACCAGCCTGTGGGGCCAAAGCAGTACCCTTACAATGATTTGTACCTGGAACGAGGCGGCGATCCTACCAAAGAACCTGAGCCGGTGGTTCACTATGAGATCTGAGGAGGCTTCATGGGCTTTTATGCCTTCTAACTAGGACTCCTTCATTCCTAGAAATTTAACCTTAATGAAATCCCCTAATAAAACTTAGTGCTGTGGTAAAAAAAAAAAAAAAAAAAAAAGAAATGAAAAGAGGATATCATGACTGACTTTACAGACATTAAAAGGGTAATAAGGGAATACTACAAACAAATCTATGCACTAATATTCAACAAAATAGATGAAATGTAACAATCCTTGAATGACTTCCAAAACCCATTCAAGAAGACACTCATCTTAAACTGAATCACCCTATTATCTATTAAGGAAATAGAATTTATAGTTTAAAATCTTCCAAAAAACAAAACTGCAGGCCCAGATTGTTTCACTGGCAAATTTTTTGAAAGAAGAACATTGTAACACTAACTCTAAAAAATCTCTTCCAAAAAATAGAAGAGGAAGGAACATTTTTCAACTCATTTTAAGAGGCCATAATTACCTTAATACCAAAGTCAGACATTATCACAATAAAGTAAAACTGCAGACCAATATCTTTCATAAACATAGATGCAAAAAAATCCTCACAAAATATTAGCAAATCAAATCCAGCAATATTTAAAAAGACTAAACATCATAACTAAGTGGGATTGATCCAAGGAATACACGCCTGGTTCAAAATTCAAATATCAATCAATGAAATATATTAACAGGTACAAGAAAAACATCATATCCATTGATGTATACAAAGCATTTGATAAAAACTAATTTTCATTTACAATTTTAAAAACTCTTTAAATAAAACTTCCTTAAACTGATAAAGGGCATCTACAAAAACCGATAGCTAATAGCATATTTAATGGTGAAGACCAAATGTTTTCTTTCCAATATTAGGAATTAGACAAGGATGTTCGCTTTCGCCACTCCTATTTGACACTATACTGGTAACCCTAGCCAGTGCAATAAAACAAACAAAAAAATAAATAAATAAGATACATACAGGCCAGGCATGGTAGCTGATGCCTGTAATCCTAGCTCTCTGAGAGTCCAAGGCAGGCGGATAGCTCAGGGTCAGGAGTTCGAAACCAGCCTGAGCAAGAGCAAGACCCCATCTCTACTATAAATAGAAAGAAATTAATTGGCCAACTAATATATATAGAAAAAATTAGCCGGGCATGGTGGCGCATGCCTGTAGTCCCAGCTACTGGAGAGGCTGAGGCAGTAGGATCGCTTGAGCCCAGGAGTTTGAGGTTGCTGTGAGCTAGGCTGAGTGACACCACAGCACTCACTCTAGCCTGGGCAACAAAGTAAGACTCTGTCTAAAAAAAAAAAAAAAAAAAAAGATACATACAGATTAGAAAGGAAGAAATAAAAGTGCCCAATTTGAATTTGAAGACTATATAATTTTTTATAGAGAGCCAAGAAATCTACAAAGTTCCAGAAATAATATGTGAGTTTAAGTTGTAGAATACAAGGTTAGCACTCAAAAATCAATTGTATATCTATCTACTAGGAAGGAACAATTGGAAACAGAAATTAACGAAAGCAATGCCATTTAAAATAGCTCAAAAAAGTTGAATACTTAGGAATAAACTTAACAAACCACATGTAGAATCTGCATACTGAAAATTGCAAAATACTGTTAGGTCATTAAATATGAAATGTCCAATTTTGAATCAGATGTTTAGTTTATTATATCTCAAACAAGGAGTACAATGAATCAAAGCATGCACCTAAACTATCAACACAGTTTACCATCTTAATGGTAGCTGGTTTATGCCAGCAGTGAAGAAGCCTGGAGAGCAAGCAGCAATGAAACCGTGAAAGGTGTTTTTCACAGCTTGTTGAGGATTGAACAAGCAAGAAGTGGTCCAAAGCCTGAAAGAAGTAGTAGTCAGTTGTTGGAAGGTCTGGTGAATATGGAGGATGACAGAGTTTCCAAGTCTCGCCTCTGTAGTTTGAGCAGCATTGTTTGTGCGACACACATGGTCGAGCGTTGTCTTGCAAGAGGATTGGCCTGTCTCTATTGACCAATCTTGCTTGCTTAATCACAAACAGCCTCATCATTTTATCCAATTGGTTGCAGTAGAAATCCACTATAATTGACCAGGTTTCATGAAGCTGTAGTGGATAATGCCAGCTCTGGACCACCAAACAGACACCATTAGCTTTTTATTAATGAATATTCCGTTTGGGACTGTGTTTTGGCACTTCATCTTTATCCGGTCATGGTGCCGAATGCTTGTGATTGTCAAAAAGAATCCATTTTTCAGCACATGTAACAACACAGTGTAGAAATGGTTTGCCTTTGTGTCATGACAGCAAAGAAAGGCGGCCTCAAAACTATTTCTCTTCTGACACTTATTTAATTCATGAGTAACCCATCTATCCAGCTTCTCTACATTGCCAATTTGTTTCAAATGGTCCAGTATTGTAGGAATAGTAACATCAAACCTTGCTGCTAATTTACGCATAGGTTGAAATGGATTTGCTTCCACTACAGCTTTCAGCTCATCATTATCTGCCTTGGTCTCAGGTCACCCATGTGATTCATTTTCAAGATTAAAATCACCTTTACAGAACTTCTCAAACCATACTGTGCGTTCACTAGCCACATCCTTCCCAAACACTTCATTGGTATTTCAAGCTGTCTGCACGGCATTGGTTCCACAACAGAACTCGTATTTGAAAATAATATGAATTTTTTACTTATCCATGGTTTCCCGAAAATTGCTCTAGAAATTTTTTTGAAAGATAATCACAAGCCAAAATGTGCATTTGAATGACTGAGGATGTACCTTCACAATAAAAATAAAGCAAGAAGTATCCAAGTGAAATGTCAGAGATAACAATTGTCAAAACTTAGTATTTAAGGAATCAGACATTTCATGCTTAATAACTTAAATAATAAAAGAAACCAAGCAAAACCTAAATAAGGGGAGAGGCATATTGTGTTCATGAATTGAAAGATTAAATATAGTTAAGGTATCAAATCTCTCTAAATTGATTCATAGATTTCTTGCAATTCTAATCAAAATCCCAGCAGGACATTTTGTAGATACAGACAAACCAATTTTTAAATTTAGAAAGAAAGGCAAAGTAACTAGAATAACTAAACCAACTTTGAAAAATAAGGACTCAGACTGCTTGGTGTTAAGATTTACTATAAAGCTGCAGTAACCAAGAAATGTGATGTTGGCAAAGGGATAGACACTTAGATTAACTGAACAGAAAAATGAGTCTAGAAATAGACCCATACAAATATGGTCCATTGATTTTTATAAAGATGCAAAGACAATTCAGTGGAGTAGGGTTAATATTTTCAAAAGATAATATTGGAACAATTACCCATCTCTGGTAGGCACAATTCTATTAATAAAATGACTCCCAACATTTCCTGTTCCTCCCCACACTAGTATACATGCCTTGAATAATCCTTGAAACTGAAATTTTGACAGATTTTGCTCCTGTGGTTAGATTATCTTAATATGGCACAGTTGACTTTGAAATAGGAAGATTATCTGGTGTGGCTGAGTTCATCACATGAACCTTTTCACAAAAAGAGTTTTCTCTGGCTAGTCTTTGCAGAGGAATATATAGATTCAAAAGTACTTGATGTACCATTGCTGCTTAAAGATGGAGAGGTGGCTACATGTCAAGGAATGTCAGAAGCCTCTAAGCATGGTCCCTGGCTGACAGCCAGCAACGGAAAGAGACACATAGGCTTACAAACTCAAGGACATAAATTCTGCCAATAACAAGAAAGATGGTCAGGGAACTCAACCTCGAGGCCACATGTGACCCTCCAGATCCCTGAGTGTGGCCCCTCAACCAAATCTAAACTTCACAGAACAAATCCCTTTATTAAAAGCATCTGCTCTGTAAAATTTAGATTCAGTCAACAGGCCACACTCAAGGATCCTGAAGGCCACATGTTGGCCCAATGCCACAGGTTCCCCATCCCTCCCCCCAGAGTCTTCAGGCAAGAATTTAGCACCAAAGATACCTTCATCTCAGCTTGGTGATATTCAAATCAGAAGACACCGTCACACTGTACCAGACATCAGACCTACAGGACTGTGAGCTAATAGGTCTTGTTTTGTTGTGGCAATGTTTACAGCTAGTGTTATAGCTCTTGACCGGGGAAAGAATCGGAGCATCACACAAAGAGTTGGAGAACAGTCTTTCTTCTTCCACAGCAGGCTGAAGCACACCTAGTGTTACATCTCTCTTCGTGTCTTCCAATCTTCTGCCCCTTTCTGTCCCCCTTCCTTATTCTCCTCCTGCTTTTATACCTTTGGTAGGGCTCAAAAAGCATCCAATCAACTACAAGCTTTAACATCCAATCAACATCAAGCTTTAACATCCAATCAACAACAAGCTTTAATATCCAATCAAAAACAGTGGGATTCAAAAATTACCCAATCAGGATTACGCAAGCAGTGTGGCTGTAAACCGGCAGCACATGGGCCCGGCCGCATTCCTGCATGTGGGGCCCCGCCCCAGCAGCATGCCCTCCAACTGGCCACATGCAGTGCTGGCCTGGGGAGATGCTGAGCAATGGGGAGGTGGCAAGCAGCTGCATCCCGGCGCCCGATATTTTCCATACCAGTTTATGCTGCTAAGGTTTGGTAGTTAGTTACAGAGTAATAGAAACTTAATGCAATATCCATAGGCCAAAAAATGAACCTTGGCTTAAACCACAGAACTTATAAAAAAGTTAACTCAAAGTGGATCATCAATCAAAATGTAAACTATAAAACTACAAAACTTCTTGAGGAAAACATAAGAGAAAATCTTCATGACCTTGAATTAGGCAAAGGATTCTTTGATACCAAGAGCATCAACCATAAAAGAAAAAATGATAAATTAGACTTCAAGATGAAAATATTTTGCTTTGCAGAAGACACTATTAAGAGGATGGAAATACAAGCTACAGATCAGGCACAGTGGCTTATACCTAAATCCCAGCACACTGGGAGGCTGAGGTGGAAGGATCACTTGAGCCCAAGAGTTTAAGACCAGCCTGGGCAACATAGAGACCTCGTGCCTACAAAAAAATGTTTTAAAAAATTAGCTGTGCATAGTGGCATGTGCCTATAGTCCCGGCTGCTCGGCAGGCTGAAGCAGGAGGATCACTTGAGCC